TGAGTTCAGTGGGGCTAAGTCTCAGGTTGTTGGGTATAGGTTTGTACCCTTAGGAGGTTAAGCATAATTGGCAAAACTAATTGAAATTGCATATAAAACCTATTTTCACTTTAATACTTTTATGATATTTATGTGATAGGCAGTATTGTACATTGTCTTTATTGCAGAGCATTTGGTAAAATTGTCAACTATATAATATCTCATTTTAGCATTTGGAAATCAGTTACCGCCCATGCATCAACAGCAAAGGTAGGATCTTTTTTCCTCTTCAGCTTGATATGTGTTGCTATTCTTCATCCCGGAGACATCTACATGTATGGGACAAAAGCTTCAGTCATTGTGCAGTTATAGAAACATAGAAACAGAGCGAGTCAGAAGGGGTCTCCCAGGCCATCTAGACTGACCCCCGGCTGTTGCTGAAAATAACTGGAAATGTATAAACCACCAGAAAATTAGACATAACTATAACCATCAGTATGTTGAAATTATTGGCTTGCAGATTTAATTGTTCTCAGGAGCAGACTTAAAGTCTTCCGAGAAGGAAGTGGTTGAAGAAAGGGTAGTCACTCAATTCCCAATAATTGAAATACCGTACTTTTCTGTCTGTAAGATGCCCCCATTATAGGACGCCCCCCACTTTTCCTACCCATCTCCAGCGAACAAGTTGCTGCTGCACACATGCGCTGCCTCGCCACCGCCACCCCCATGGCGCCTCGCAGCCCCCCTGCGTGTGGCCTCCTGTGTATAAGACGCACTTTCATTTTTAAGTAAATGTTTTTAAGAAAAAGTAGTGTCTTATACATGGAAAAATACGGTACTTAGAGCTTTGTTCAAATATATTTATGTTCAGTTGCCTTTAATGTTTCACAAAAAGCCAACCAAAGTATGGTATAAATAGAAGTACTTTTGTGCAAGCATTAAACTACTTTCCAGGGATTTAAGATTATTTCCCTTAATTGGACTTTTGGTAATTTAAGTGAATCTGGTTGCTCCTCTCTCCTGCTTCCAAGCCAAATACCAGTCAGTCTAGTGCAGGGGTCAGCAACACACGGCTTCGGAGCCGCACGTGGCTCTTGAACCCCTCTGCTGCGGCTCCCCCCTTGAACCCCTCTGGCCGGCCCAGCCACTGATTTGCTCAAAGCTCCACTCAGGAAGGCAGGGCTAGCTAGTTAAATAAATCAGCTAGTTAAGTAAATCACTACATTCCTCTGCTTAAACAAGCTTCCTCCAGGCTCTCATATTACACAAAACACTGCTGAAAAGATTCTTTGTCCCAATGTAATCTCCTTCATCTGAATGTTAAAAGCTGTGCTTGGGACCTGTCACAATTCATAGCACTTGACTGTCTATCTGCTAATCAGTCACTAAACACACCTATATCTCTGGCACAGCCACTGATCTGCACCCCACTAAGATTTACTGAGCTCCCCCCCCCCCATAGGCCAACCATGGATAAATCGAAGAAAAGTTTCTGAAGAAAACCAAACATTTAATGATACGTGGGTAGATTCATTTGCTTTTACTGCTGATGAACTTACGGGGTTTGCTGTTTATGCATGCAGCCCTTTAGCACTGACTTTGACTCTTCAGGAAGCTGTTCTCCTATTTAAAATATATGAAAGGAGTCCTACTAGTTTGTAATGTAAGATTAAAAATAACAGTTTTTAGCGACTGAACAACAGCTGCAGCTAAATCATAATGAAGATATACATAGCATTAAGGTAAAAAACGATATATGCAATGTTATCTTCATTTTAGATGTCAGAAGGGTTTTGTGGCTCCCAGTGTTTTCTTTTGTGTGGGAAACGGGTCCAGATGGCTCTTTGAGTGTTAAAGGTTGCCAACCCCTGGTCTAGAGTGTTCCAAAGCAGAGGTAGGGAAATTGATGTTCTCTAGCGGTTTTAAACTCCAGATACCATCAGTTTCATCCAGCAGGGCCACTGGTGAGGTATTATAGGTGTTAGAGTCCAAAACATATTACCTATTCTTGATGCAGACAGATCACTGTCTCTTTCAGTACAAATAATATACTCCCTTCATCAAACAAAGCTCATGTAAAGCAGTCACTCCTTGTGACGGACTATTCAAACTTGCATTGCTGTAGCAGTGTCCTGCAATAGATACTTCAGTCTTTTGTCTGATTAACAGAAGTAATTGCATGCAGCAATCTTAGATCAATATAGTTAATGCTGAACTTAAGAGCAAGAAATGAGACCAATGGGAAACTTGCATCTTTTGGTATACAAGTTAAACAGTAGTTTTTTTAATTTTTTCATGAAATATATACATTAATTTTTCAAATTAGTACAAATTGTGAATGCCTTCTAATAATATTAGAATAATATAATAATATAATATAATATTAGAAGAAATATTATTAGAATGCCTTCTAATAATATAAGAAAAATATTAGAACAGGTGCAAATGTTAATTTTTATCGTATTTCAGGTCTGTAATGACAGAAGAATACAAAGTTCCTGATGGAATGGTTGGATTCAGTAAGTAATGTAAACTTACCACAATAAAATAAAAGATGTAAGAGACACTATTAGTGAAATGATAGTGCTTTTTTCTATTTCTAATAATTGCTTTTTTTATTTTTGAAGTAATTGGCAGGGGAGGAGAACAGATCTCTCGCATACAACAAGAATCTGGATGCAAAATACAGATTGCACCTGGTAATTGTTTACTCTCCTGTGCCATCGTTAGCTACATGTATAGAATGCTAGTGATTAATGTTGCAAATAATTGGACCAGTGGTCTTAAATGAGTTTCCAGTATGTGTGAAATATGTATAAATATGCAAAATAAGCTATAGAGGGGAGTAATGGGTTAAAATGTAACACACTTTGAACAACTGTTGTGGAAATAAACTTTAATGCAGAACTTTTACTTGCTGGTTTGATTACTGGTATTCATACTAAACTGTTTCCATTTTATAGATAGTGGAGGGCTGCCTGAAAGATCTTGCATGTTAACTGGCACACCTGAGTCTGTACAGTAAGTATTTACTGAAAACTTTCAAATAAGCTAGCATGCTTTTAGCATATCTATCCCATGAATATATTTCATAGAAAATAGCCATACTCAGTAAGGAATTTCATGTAATCTGAAATGAAGAGTTTTCATTGCTATTTCAGTAAGTAATACAATGTTTGTATGATTAAAGTATGTTCAATACATTTTTGAGCATTCATTTCTCTAGTGATTTTTTTGTAGCTCTACTTCCAAAGTACTGTACATATTGCAAAAATTCCCAGTTGCTGCTTTAGCCACTTATTAGAAAGCAAATGTCTTTGACCACAGTACTTTCAGAGCTTATATTCATTCTTAGGCTTAGGCTTTTATGACTTTAAGTCTCAAGGTTTAAATTTTGTGGCCTCACCCTGGCTTTCTCAATAATACTATTTTTTCATAATTTTGTTTTGGAAGGATATTGCACATCTTGCCCAACTGCAGAACACTAGTTTTGTTCTTAGCTTATTTTGAAAACTTTGGAAGACTTTGGTAATGCATAATATTCATTGCTATTAGGTTCTGGAATTTAAATTTACTATTGCTTCTACTTGCAAGTAAAGAAAGAAATATAAGTGCTAATGCTCCTGAATTGTTAACTTTTCATGAATTAATGATGTAATATAGCTCATGTCTTTGCATCAGTTGAAGGCTTTCATTGGTGAAGCAGGAGTATTTTTAGCAGTTTCGTCTCTATAGACCCTTATGGCCACCAACCTGCTCCAGGATATTGGGGAGCCTAAGAAACTAATACGGGTCTGCGAGGAGAGGGTGAATCACTGAATTATCCCCACCCTGCCAGTATCTGTTAATGGAAGATCGCTATATTTATTTGGCCTTTAATAATTAGAGAACCCTGTTTTTTAAATGCTCATTAAAAGAATATTCAGAAAAATGGTTTTCCTTTAACACTGTATGACAAATGCATTTAAATTGATAAATTGATGTTATGTTTTGGAGTGAACCTTTGAAATTCACCTTGGATAGGGTAGTCTTTTAGCAAGGTTCAAAAATTTGCTCTGAAGCAAGACTGTAGATATTTTAAGCCATAGTCAAATTCATGTGTAAAATTCCAAAATAGAAATAACCAGTTTCTCAAGACTCTTGGAGGGTTAGCCCCTTGTATGCCAGTCAGTTGGCAGGGCTGACATCTTGCCTACTAGATCTCCTACTGATCCTGCCTACTTGCAGACAAATGAGCTTCATTCTCACTGCATTTATTCTTGCTGATTTCCCCATTGGCACTCAACACAGATTAATTTTGAATAGGGTGGTCTTCCTATGCAGCTACGTAGGCTGTAGGAAGATGTTTTTACTTTTTCCAGTTGGGGCCTAGAGCTACAACCAGAGGACACTGGATTCCTTTTGCCTGTTTTTCTGAAAGGATAGACCAGTAGGGTCTACCACAATAAACATCAGTCACTCTTTCCTTTCCATCCAGTGTGACAAAGTTGGTGTAAGAGCACCAGGTAGCTGTAGTAAGAACAGCAACAGGTTAGAGCAATGGGTAGCTCAGCATTTCAGAAGGCACCAGTGGCAATGGAGCAGATAAGTGGATGCTCCTTCCCAAACAATACTATTAACCCTGATTTCAATGGAGAAGGAATTCACCTGGTGTTTCTCAGGTGGGTGAAAACCGAAGTTGCCAAGAAGGTGAGGGGAGCTTTAACTGCAGCTACATGAAGAGAGCCAGATTACCCTCCCCCCCCACCCTAAGAAAAAAATAAAAGTAAATCTGAATGCAGACACAACCTGTTTGCCAGTCATGGAGCAATTCTTTAAGACAATCCAACTCCTCAGAGCCAAGATCACCTGATAGGGAGTGCAAGAGAGCCATGTGAAACAAGCTTACATGTGGGAAACTAGGGTGCTCAAACAAAAGCACTGTTTACTCTTGAATACGTCTGCAGGGCAGATGCCTGAGGGCAATTGTGCTAAGGCATTTCTGATACCCCTGTGTATCTGAACAAAAGGAACAGCAAGCTTCGGGAGAGAAAATGAACCAGGTGGCTCTTGAAGTTACCCAAATTGTCCATACTGAGCTATTCCAAATTCTTCTCAGGAAGATGTGTGGCACTTTTGGTTGACACCCACACTGAAAAGGGACTCCCCTCTCCAGAAGGATCAAAACTTGCATTTCCACAGAAAAATCCTAGGATCTCTTCAATGCCATTGCCCATTCAGTTCAAGGATATATGAAAGACAGTCTGCTGGCATTTAAATTCTGTTTGCTATGCAAAGAGATCATGGAACAGATTAATGTGGCATTGGTTGATGCAAGTATTCCATCAGATGAAATGAAAGTGACACAAGATACCTGTGTCAAGTGGGTGGAGGTGACACTCCATAAGGGCTTGGAACACTACTATTTTCAAAGCATACACAATTCTGCATTTGCTGGAGCTGTATACATTTGTACTCAAGACCTAGAAATAGTGGAATTAATGTGGATGGAAAAAAGAAAATAGTTGAGAGCAAGGACAAGAAGCCCTTGCCATAAACCATGAAGCAGATGGGAACTCAGTCCAGCTTCTGTTTTTATGAATTCTGCTTGTTGCCAGGCTTATCGGGTCTCAGAGGCCCTGCAGTGGGCAGACTTCTCCAGTTCACAACTTTGGTTATATGAGCCTTGAGGTTGGTAACCCACAGCTGTGCTTTTAAGTTAGTTTACCTTTTTGGAACCCCCTCCAAAATAAATACCCTTCTGGGCAATCCCCAAATCTACACTTCCTCTCCTCTGGCAAAACATTGCACATTCTAACAAGCAAACATTCAGTCCATAGAGGCAATTTCCGAGGCATGAAAGAAGCAGGGTTCTGTCCAAGAAAATGGAAGTGTATGCTGTATCCTGGATCTCAAATGGATGAACAAACTCATCCTGCAAAAGGCAGGTTAGGATGAAAACTCTCCCAAATCCATTATTACAACCTTGGGCAACTTCTTTACATCCAAAGACCTTTGAGAGGGGTAATTGCATATATCAACCATCAGTCATTCTTGGGCAAGACTGTGTCCTTCAAACTGACTTCAGCACTGCCTGAAAATACAGCACCACTGCATTTATGAAAATTCTGTGGCCCTGGTAGCCTGCTTTAGGCAATGTATATGATCCTCCAACTGGATGATAACCTAATCCATTCCTGAACCTGGATGGAAAACTTGCAAGAAGCGCAGAACACCCTGGAGTGACTCAAGGTGCCTGGTTTCATTGTAAATATGCAGAAGCGTTCTCTGGAAACACAGACTGGAATGCTGTGAGCTAGTGCTGGACCTACGGAGAAGAGGGTATAACTTGTACACTTAGAAAAAAGTGGCACAGGAGGAAAGGATGAAATCCATACAACTAAAAGGCTACCTAGGATCAAGTCAGGAAGCAGTTTGTTGGGGTGTTTCCACACTATAGACCACTTCCAAAGACTTTTGCTTTGTTCCAAGCACAGATTGCTCAGCGCAGGTATGTGCTGATCCAGGTACCTTGTGTCATGATCCTGGCTCTCCCCTTATTGCACTTAGGCTCCAAAACAGCAGTTTCTTTACAAGCAGATCTTTATTGGCATTTCATAGATACAAGGCAAATTAACTCAGTAAGCTTGATAGTACATCTCAGCACATGTCAGGAATTATAGTTGAACCCGATTTAGGGGCTTCTCCCCAGAAAGTTTTCTTTCAGTAACTGAGGTTCTAACAGGGTGGCTTCTGCTGTTGAAAGGCCAGCCTGCAAGAGCATTGCAAGCCCGCTAACTCGGCAGCTTATCTCTCCTAAAGCCACCACATGGGGCAGGGAAGGGCAAGGCAGTAGCTGTTCCTCCTCTCCTTCAAAACCTGCCGCCCCATTTCCACTTTACTGGGCAGTGTCCACTTTTAAAGGCCTGAGCTTCTGCCTGGTCTCCCACAATGCCCTACCTTTGTTTTATTGTATTTTAAGTGTTGTAAACTGTCCAGAAAGCCAAGAGCCTTTTGTGATGGTCTATAAAAGGTTGAAATGAATTAAATAAAATCTCTGTCTCAAGGTCCCATTCGGAATCTCAGTCCTGCTGACCATGCAGTTGTGACTGCTTCCATTCATACATCTTGTTGACTATGGATGGTGATGCCATAGGTTGGCTAGAAGAGCATCACTGACTCAGTCCAACAGTATCATATTACAACACAGAATCATAGAGTAGCACAGTTGGACCTAGTGGCTCTCTGGATTCTTCCAACAGATGCTGTTCTCTTTGGAAATCTATAGAGTCCAGGGTAACCTGAACAAAAATAGTCAAAGAACAAGTAAAGTCCTTGTCTGGGACTTAAGGCCATTAAGTTGGCACTAATAACCTTTCAAGGACAGATAAACAGGCTGTATGTGTTAAGATGCAATAAATAAGATGTATAGCATAGCATGTCAGCAAAGGTCTTCACAAACGGGCACAAAATCATGTACCATGCACAGGGCAGCTTTGAAAGTCTTGAGAAGAACAAGGGAAAATCTTCCCTTGATCAAAGCCAGACATGGGTAGTAAAGTTAAATTAGATAGACCTGACTTAGTTAAATAGCAATTCAAATGAAGGTGGGTGCTTCATCTGCAGGCTTTTCAGCAGATAGTTAACTGTTTTGAAAGAGTAAAGTAGACCTATTTGTGACCTTTCCAAATACAAAGCTGAGCCTTGGCACAAGACCCATGTCCAAAAGCAGTGGGACACAAGGCTTGTGATGTTTAATGGTTTGGGGGTGGTTGTGTTCTTTTCTGCCATTGCCTCTCCTAACAAAGTTTAGGGGATCAAGTATAACTGTTTCTAATGGCACCATTTTGGATGTTCTGTTGCCATCATTTTGACAACATAAGAATGCTGGAGATTTCCAGTCCCAAGATAATCAGCCATTACAGGAGACTACTGTTTCATCTACAGCCTCTCATGTTTTACCTGACAGATGGAAGCTGAACAGCAACAGCTTAGGTACCTATGGTATTCATAAAATCATAGACTCATAGAATCATAGTCTGAATAGTAGAGTCTGAAGGGGCCAGAGGGCCATTAGGACTCTATAGGACTCCAAGGTAAACCATGCCTCTCAGATGGCTATCCAGCTGTATCTCGAATGCCTCTAATATGGGAGAGCCCATATTTTCCCTAGGTAATTAGTTTCATTGTCATATTGCTCTAACAGAAAGTTCTTCTGATGTTTAGTTGAAACTTGACTTCTGTAACTTTCCCTGTCCTGTACTCTGGGAGGATCAAGAATCTGACTGAACACACTTAAGAGCCCATTATCTGGCCTATGCTGTGGTGGTGAGGGCGGCGAAAAAGAAATTCTTTTCCGTTTCCATTGCCTCCTCAAAATGCCGTCCAGCAGAGCTTTTTCGAGTGGTACAAGGCCTGGTCTGCCCTGGCCCTAAGAAAGATCTGGTTCTACCCACGAAGGCCCGCTGTGACGACTTTGCCAAGCATTTCAGGGAGAAAACCGCTCAGATTTGTCATGAGCTAGACTCTACTAGTGACTCAGAGGTTTCTGGGGAGATACCAATGTCGCCGTCTGGTCCAAAATTAATGGATGAATTTCAGTTATCGCGGCCTGATGATGTGGACAAGGTGCTTGGACGAGTACGTCCCACCACTTGCCTATTGGACCCTTGCCCGTCTTGGTTAATAAATTATTCCAAGCACGGATTGGGATCTGGATCTTGGAAGTGGTTAACGCTTCTCTGAGGGAGGGTCGGGTACCTGCCCCTTTAAAGGAGGCGGTAGTCCGACCGGTCCTGAAGAAAGCGTCACTGGATCCAGAGATGGCCACTAATTATAGACCAGTGGCCAACATCCCGTTTCTGGGCAAGGTGTTGGAGCGGGTGGTGGCGGGACAACTCCAAGC